TCCTCCTCCTCCTCCTTGTCCAACTGTGACCACCAACAGTCGGTCGCTCGCCCTACGAGCCGCCCCCGCTTAGACCTCCGCTGCCTCCAGCGGCGCCTGGGACCCAGACATCCGACGCCGCGTTCTGTTTCGCAGCGTGGCTCCCAAGAGGTCTGGATCCCTTCCTTCGGGACCGGTTTTCGCTTCCCCCGCATGTATCATCGATCCGTTCGTCATTGCAGCATTTTGGCGCGAAGCCAGTACTCCCTGGAGAGGGGTTGAACCAGCGCAATGCTTGTCGAAAAAGTATATTTCGACTTCAGCTTGAATTTCTTTCAGATTGCCATTCTACCTTGGCTTTGCTTCTCGGAGACAGCTTCTGCTCAAACCAGACCTCGTCGCGTCGGGCAATATTCGCGACACTGTGTCGCGAATTTTGCCCGACGCGACGAGGTCTGGTTTTCGGGTCATAGCTCGGATCGCCGGCGGCCGCCGAGGACGCTCCTGCAAAACGACAGGGCCGTTTTTTTCCGCCAGTTCCGTTTGCCCTTCTTTGTCCCTGTTCCGATGCCGCCTTTTAACCGGTTCCGTCGCCGTTGGTCTACGGGTTCTGGCTCCACTTCCAATCGGAACCGTTTTTGTTCCCGTTGTTCGTCGGCCTTGCCGTTTCCGGGGCCCACTCAGGCTTCTTAGAAGGCGCGGGCCTTGTCTATACATGTAGGGCTGGCGTCTTCTCAGACGCAGCCTCCTTCTAAGACGCTTTCCCCCCTCCACCTGCCCTCCTCTGCGCGCCGCCAACCAAAGCCCTCGGCGAGGCGCAGCCGGAGGAGAGCATCTTGAGACTGGGAAACCTTGCGGAATCGACGGAAACGTCCGAGAGCCTTGAGGCGACGTCGACCAGGACTCCGATTCAGACCCAGCCGTGGCAACGAGGAAAGCGCCCCCGGAGGCGCAAAATTGACGTGTGGCGTTCAGAAAGCCCGAAAAAACGTTGGCCCAAACCGCCCGTCGCGATCTCTCCCCTGCGCGAGGAGGTCATGGGGAGGGGTCTGACGGGGCCCGGACGAGGAGAAACCCGTTCCACAGCGTTCCTGAAATCAAAGAAGGCCGCGGTGCTCGACACATCCTCCAGAGCAGCCAGCCCTCAGAGATCCCCGATGGGGGCGTGGCCGCGGCGGGCCCCCCGCGAGTCAGTCGCGGGCTGCCGGCGCGAGCGACGGGTGCAGGAGGAGGAGAGGAGGAGGGAGGAGGAGGAGGAGGAGGAGAAGGAGGAGAGGAGGAGGCAGGAGGGAGAAGGAGGAGGAGGAGGGGGAGGCAGGAGGGAGGAGGAGGCGGAGAGGAGGCGGAGGAGGAGGAGTGAGGAGGAGGAGGAGGGAGGAGAGGAGGAGGAAAGAGGGGAGGAGGTGAGGAGGAGGAGGAGGAGGAGGAGGAGGAGGAGCAGGATTCACTCTCACACGATTGGCTTCGTCTTACGTGGGGACGGGGGGGCGTGCGGACCGCCAGCGCGGAGAGGGGGCGCTCGAGCTCAGCAACTCCCCGACCGTCCTCGACAACTTCGGGGCGCGCTGGCCCTGCCCCGCGGGGGCTGGGGGAGGAGGAAAAGGGAGAGGAAAGGAGCACGGGGAAAACAATGGGGAGGGAGGAGGAGGAGGGAGGAGGAGGAGGAGGAGGAGGAGGAGGAGGAGGAGGAGGGAGCAGCACGGGGAGCAAAAGGGGAGGGGGAGGAGGAAAAGGGGGAGGAGGAGAAGCACGGGGTACAAGAGGGGAGGAGGAGGAGGAGGAGGAGGAGGATGAGGAGGAGGAGGAGGAGGAGGAGGAGGAGGAAGAGAAAATGGGGAAGGGAGGAGTACGAGACACAAAAGGGTGAGGGAGGAGGAGGAGGAGGAGGAGGAGGAGGAGGAGGAGGAGGGGAGGAGGAGGAGAGGAGGAGGAGGAGGAGGAGGAGGAGGAGGAGGAGGAGGAGGAGGAGGAGAGGGAGGAGGAGGAGGAGGAGGAGGAGGAGGAGGAGGAGGAGGAGGAGGAGGAGGAGGAGGAGGAGGAGGAGGGAGGGAGAGGAGGAGGAGGAGGAGGAGGAGGAGGAGGGAGGAGGAGGAGGAGGAGGAGGAGGAGGAGGGGGGGGAGGAGGGAGGAGCAGGAGGGTGGAGGAGGAGGAGGAGGAGCAGGAGGAGGAAGAGGATGAGGATGAGGATGAGGATGAGGAAGAGGATGAGGAAAAGGATGATGATGATGATGATGATGATGATGATGATGATGATGATGATGATGATGATGATGATGATGATGATGATGATGGTGTTGCTGATGATGATGCCGATTATGATGATGGTGATGATGATGAGGATAAGGATGAGGATGAGTATTACAGTGATTGTTTACCATGATTATGATTATGATGACATTGATACTGGTGATGGTGAGATTGATGATGTTGATGACGATGGTGATGATGGTGATGATGGTGACGATGTTGATGATGATGATGTTGATGATGGCGATGATGATGGTGATGGTGATGGTGATGGTGAAAGTGTTGAGTATGTCGACGACGATGACGATGGTGATTATGCCGACGCAGACGACGATAACGATGATGATGATGCTGATGATGTTGATGATGATGATGATGATCATGGTGGCGGTGATGGTGAGGACGATGCTGATGATGGTGGTGATGGTGATGATGCTGATGTTGCTGCTGCTGGTGATGATGATGATGATGGTAATGATGCTGATGATGATGATGATGATGATGCTGATAGTTGTGATGATGGTGGTGATGGTGATGAGGATGATGCTGACGATGATGCTGATGATCACAACGACGACAAGGATGGTGATGAAGATACTGATGACGATGATGGTGATGACGATGATGATGACGATGGGATGATGATGATGATGATGATGATGATGATGATGATGATATTGATGATGGTGATGATAATGTCGATGAGGTTGCCGATGGTTAGATTGCTGATTAGAATGTTGATGTTGAGTATGTATGATCATGGTGATGGTGATTGTGATGGTGATGATTGCGAGTATGATGTTGTTGTTGGTGATGATGATGGTGGAGGATTAGGTGTAGGAGGAGGAGCAGGAGGAGGAGGAGCAGGAGGTGGAAGAGGAAGAGGAATAGGAAGAGCATGGTGATGATGATTATGACGAGGATGATGAGGATGATAATGATCATGGTGGTGATGGTGATGGTGCTGATTGTGATGGTGATGACGGATGATGATGGTGGTGGTGATGGTGATGGTGATGGTAATTGTGATGGTGATGTTGATGGTAATGATGATGAGGTTGATGATGTTGATGATGATAATGATGATGATGATGTTGATGATGCTGATGATGCTGATGATAGTGATGGTAAGGATTATGGTGCTGGTGGTGACGATGATGATGGTTCTGCTGCTGCTGCGGTTGCTGATGATGATGGAGGAGGGCGAGGTTTATCGGTCGCGCAGAATTCGGCGTCGCGCAGAGGGGGGCGGGGCGAGGAGGACCCAGGCATATTGGCGCCGTGGAAAGCCATGACGGCGGACACTGTTTGGTCGTTTTCGGATTCCAGTGTCCTTTGCTAGGCCCCGTGACCGTCAAAAAGGACTCGGGATGACATGCCTGTTGCATGGAAGGGGTCCAGAGATCTGAGGAGCCGCGATGTAACACACACACACACACACACACACACGCACACGCACACACACACACACACATACACACACACTCTCAAAGGAGGGAGGGGAGATGACAAGCTATGCTCGCGCCACATATGATATCGTAACCCCTATGCACGTTACTTCCCATTCCGCTGAATCATTCTCTATCCGCAGATTGGGGTGTCCTAAAGGAATGTGTGCATAAAAGACAGTTGCAGGATTTGACCCATCAGTTGCTGTGTTATCGGAAAGGGGGGCATTTGCTCAAGGAACAGCAGGCGGATGAGAAGGAAGCGGTGAAGGATGAGAAGCAGGAAGGAGGACGAGGAGGAGAAGCAGGAGCAGGAAGAGAAAGAGGAATCGAATATCAGCGGAAGGCGGAGAAGGTGAAAAAGAGAGGGACGGCAACGGCATTCAACGAATAGGATCGGCCGAGACCTCACTGGCATTTTTGGGGGGAAGGGGCAGAAAGAGCCAGAACAAATCGGCACGATCTTTGGTGCGGTCGTCTTTTTTCCCCGGGCGTTCTCACCCGACTTCGTGCCCTGAGGCCCTCACAGATCGATCGTGCTCGAGAAACGCGTTGGGAAGATGGATTCTCTCTGGCCGTGATTTCTCACGACGTTGTAATTTTGTGGCGACGCCAGATCTCAACCTCTGCCCAGGGTGCCCTGGGTTTCTTGAGCTTCGATGGTTCTGCTATGGAGAGCGTGACACTCCCACACCAAACATCGATGGACGTCCTGGGGTCTCAGGGTTGGGCTTCTTGTGGAAGGTTTCTTGTGGACTGGCCTCCACTGTAGCCGCTGTGGCAGCTTGGGCCTTCCGCCTTCCTGGACGTCCGACATGGTGTTACTCACGGCGTGGTTCCCCGCTTGTCTGGGCCCCTTCCCCGAGGCTTGCTTCTCCTTCCGTTAAGTCGGGCCTGCCCCTCTACAGGGGGAATATTCAAAAATAGTCAAAAAATAGTTCGGGGACTATTGTTTGAGTATGTGTTTTGCCAGTTTGGGGTATTTTTGGAGCATTTTTTATTGTTCGTCGAAAATCCCACTGTAGGGCTGTGTTCTGTCGGCCCTGGGGCTCGACGAGGGCACCCCGGAGGTCAGCCACGACGCGTGGAGGTCGGGGCCCTCGGGCCCGTCATCGTCGTCGTCATGGTGCCTCCCCCCCCGCCCAGGTGAGGTCGTTCTCGATCTGCATGGGCGCTCACCCCGGATCGGACGGGCGCCCGTCAGCTCATGTGCTGCATCTGTTGTTGTTGTTGTTGTTCCCCATATCCTAAGATGGGGTTCTTGTTATTATTTGGATGCCTCCTACTCCCTCTCCTCCTCCCCTCCTCTCGGACTTACTCATACTCAGACATACTCATACCCAGACTTACTCCCACACAGACTTACTCATACTCAGACATACTCATACTCAGACCTACCCATACTCAGACTCACTCATACCCAGACGTACACATACACAGACTTACTCATACACAGACTTACTCATACCCATACTTACTCATACCCAGACGTACTCATACACATATTTACTCATACACAGATTTACTCATACTCAGACCTACTCATACACAGACCTACTCATCCTCAGACTTATTCAGATTTTGAGGATGTCTCAGGCGGGGCGCTGGTTTCAGCACCCCTAAGGGGAGCCGCCAGGTGGTATATCACGGGCCCGTTCGCGGCCAGTTTGTGGGGATGTCTGAGGTGGTTTGCTTGTTTTCATGCCCAACATGCTTTGCTTTCAGAGCAGATTCTGAGGATGTCTCAGGCGGGGCGCTGGTTTCAGCACCCCTAAGGGGAGCCGCCAGGGGGTATATCACGGGCCCGTTCGCGGCCAGTTTGTGGGGATGTCTGAGGTGGCTTGCTTGTTTTCATGCCCAACATCTTTTGCTTTCAGAGTAGATGTTGAGGATGTCTCAGGCGGGGCGCTGGTTTCAGCACCCCTAAAGGGAGCCGCCAGGGGTGTTTTCACGGGCCCGTTCGCGGCCAGTTTGTGGGGATGTCTCAGGCGGTTTGCTTGTTTTCATGCCCAGCATCCTTGGCTTTCAGAGCAGATGTTGAGGATGTGTCAGGCGGGGCGCTGGTTTGAGCACGGCCTGGCAGCTGAGGAGGGGGAGTGAGAGGGAGGCTCACATTTAATCATACTCAAAGCTCACTCTGACTCATACTCACTCACTCGCATTAGGATTCACTCGTCTTCGTCGGCCCTGTCGCCCACGTGGACGCGCTATTATAGTCAAACGCTCATGAACAGACGCTCGCTCTGGCATGACATCAAACATAAGATGTACATATAGGGAGCTCCACGCAGTGAGTAATTGTGATTATTGCACTGGTGCTGGTGTTGTTGCTGCTGTTGTTGTTGCTGTTGTTGTGGTGGTGGTGGTGGCGGTGGCGGTTGTTGTTGAATTCTCACTTCTGATAAATAATTATTGCTGATCCCCCCTCACCGCTGCATACTGTTCTTTCTCAATCAAAGTGTGCCCCTCGACGCTCGCACCCTCTTCTTTTTGACAGGGAAAGCCGTGGTGCTCAAACTGGGCCCCTGGCCCCCCGGATTACAAGAACAACGGCTCCCGCTTGAGATTTTCCCCAAATTTACTCAGGACCCCCGTTCTAGAGACTTCCTCACAATTTATTCAGGATAGGTGTTCCCGCCTGTGCGAAACTCGCAATGTAGTCAGGACCCCCGCTCCCATCTGAGACGTCCTCACAAATTACTCAGGAACGGCGCTCCCGCTTGAGATTATCTCACAATTGAACCAAAACTTCTTCGCAATGTAATCAAGACCCCCGCTCCCGCCAGAGTGTCCTTCACATGTTATTCAGGAATTGCGCTTTCGCCTGTGACCTCCATGCGATGTATTCCGAAATCGCGCTTTCGACGCTCAGGAAACACGCTGCGCCAAGGACGCCGCTACACTTTACTTAGTAATGACGCTCTCGCCATACTCAGGTATCCCGCTTGAATGTCCCACCCGCTCGACCCGCCCGTCAGGGCATCGCCCTCGAACGTTCACGCTCCTACCTTGTTGTTCCTCCCTCTCCCTCCTCCCTCCTCCCTCCTCTCCTCCCGTCTCGTTCCTTCCTCTCTTCCCTCATCCTTATGCCTCGCTGCCCTATCACCTCTCCCTCCTCTCCCTCCACCTTTTCCCTCCCCTCTCCTGCCTCCTCCCTCCCTCTTTTTGTTTCTCTCTCTCGCTCTCTCTCTTTCTCTCTCTCTCTCTCTCTCTCTTTCTTTCTCTCTCCCCTCTTTCTCTCTCTCTCTCTCTCTCTCTCTCTTTCTTTCTCGACCTCTGTTATATGTCTTTGTCTGTCGCTCGTTTTTTCTCTCTCTCTCTCTCTCTCTCTTTTTCTCTCTCCCCTTCTGCCTCTAGTCAACCACCCCTCTCTTCGCTCCTTCTCTCCTGGCGTGTTCCCTCTTCCTTCGTCCTCCCCCTTCCTCCCACTCTCCCTCGTTCTCCCCCTCTTCTCTTTGCAGGGCCCACACCAATTCCATTGGCGGGCACATGTACACCCACGAAGGATTGTCCGCCCGCTGAGGTTTTCTCGCCTGTCTAAGCCCGCCGCCCCCCGCAAAGAGAAAGAATCCCCCCAAAGGGGGTATGATCCAAAACAAAAAGGGCGGGTATCCAGGGTGTGGGGAACTCGTTTTGAATGGCACGCGGGCAAATAAGAGCGAACTGTATTATAATGATTGTTGCTCTTGTTGTGGTTGTGGTTTTGGTTGTGGTTGTGGTTGTTGGTGTTGTTGTTGTTGTTGTTGTTATTGTTGTTGCTGTTGTTGTTGTTGCTGATGTTGGTGTTTTGTATGTGTGTGTTCGTTATGATTATTTATATCTCTCTCTCTCTGACTTCCTCTCTGGATGTCCCTGTTGTTATTCATCTCGCTCTCTCTCTCTCGTTCTCCCTCTCTTTTCCCCATCAGCATGTGGTGTTGGGTCCTCGTTTTGAAGAGAATCCTTCCGTCCTTCCGTCCTTCTCCTCCTCATCCTCTTTCCCATCCCTGCCTCTGTTCCGCCTCTGTTCCCCGTATCAGTCAACCAGGTCGGTCTTCCCTTCACGTGTCGTGGCCCCATAGAGCTCCACCGAAGGTCCCAGTGGCGCAGCCCGCATGCGTCCGCCCCACCTTTTTTGGGGCACACCCAATCACACGTGGCCCCACAAGAAGTCCCACCGAATGTCCCAGAGGCGCAGCCCGTATGCGTTTGGCCCACTCATACCGGCATGCCCCACCACACGCTTCGTGGCCCCATTGGGAGCTCCACCGAAGGTCCCAGTGGCGCAGCCCGCATGCGTCCACAACAACTATTTCGGCACACCCTTCACGGGAGCTCCACCGAATGCCCCAATGACGCAGCCCGCATGCTGCCGCCCCACCCATGGCGGCAGACCCATCACTCGTTTCGTGGTTCCATATAGGGAGCTCCACCGAAAGCCCCAGCGCAACCCGCATGCTTCCGCCCCAACAATTTCGGCACACCCTTCACTCGTTTCGTGGCGTCATAGGGAGTTCCACCGCAGGTCCCAGTGGCGCAACCCTCATGCTTCCGTCCCAACCATGGCGGCTGAGCCCTCATTCGCTTCGGTGCCCCATAGGGAGCTCCACCCAAGGTCACAGTGGCGCAGCCTGCATGCGTCCGCCCCGCACATTTCAGCACACCCCCCACACGCTTTGTGGCCGCATGCGGAGCTGTTGCACCGAAGGTCCCAGAGGCGCAGCCCGCATGCGTCCGCCCCACCCATTCTGGCACACACCCGAAGACGGCTCGTGGCGTCATATGGATGTCCACCGAAGGCCCCAGAGGCGCAACCCGCATGGGCCCGCCCCACCGATTTCGTCGCACCCCTCACACGCTTCATGGCTACATGGGGAGCTCCACCGAAGGTCCCAGTGGCGCAGCCTGCATGCGTCCGCCCCACGCATTCTGGCACACCCTTCACACGTTTCGTGGCCCCATAGGGAGCCCCCTCGAAGGCCCAGTGGCGCAGCCCTCGTGCGGCCACCGCACCCATTGACGGCCCCAGTGGCACAGCCCGCACGCGTCCGCCCGATTCATGTCGGCACACCCCATCACAACCGTCGTGGCCCCATAGGGAGCTCCACCGAAGGTCCCAGTGGCGCAGCCCGCATGCGTCCGCCCAAATAGTTTCGGCGCACCCCTCAGGCGTTTCGTGGCCCCATAGGAACCTCACCCCGCGACCCACTTGCGACCCACCCGCGACCCACCCCGCGACCCAGCGACCAACCCGCGACCCAGCCGCGACCCATTTGCAACCCAGCCGCGACCATTGTGCGATCCATCCGCGGCACACCCGCGGGCTTCTCCAGAGTTTCGCGGACTGCCGACGTCCCCACCGCCCCCTCACTCTTATCCGCATCTGCGGGGTGCTACGGTATGTTTATGTGTAGTTTTATTTGTTTGGGAATCAATGAAGCAGTGTGTGGGTTTGGTTTTAGCTTTGGGGGGGGCGTTGGAGGCTCAGAGAGGTGCTGGGGGGGAGTCCGCGGCGAGCACTGGAGCCCCTGAGGTCCAGAAATAGCAACACAACGAAGCACGCACAGTGTTTCGGTGATCCCCAAACCATCACCAGTCAAACAAACACACATAAACAGCGTTTCGTGGCACAGGGCTCGCGCCTGAATCACATGCTCGTCTAAGTACGCAGACATCGGAGGAGGATGAGGAGAGGGAGGGAGAGAAGGAGGCGGAGGAAAAGCAGGAGGAGGGGGGGAGGAGGAGGATGAGGAGGATGATGATGAGGAGGAGGCGGAGGAGGAGGAGAGGGAGAAGAGGAGGAGGAGGAGGAGGAGGAGGAGAAGAGGAAGGAGGGGGAGAGGAGGAAGAGGAGGAGGATGAGGAAGAGAAGGAGGAGGTGGTAAAGGGAGAGGAAGAAGAAGAAGCGGAGGATGAGGATCAGGAGGGACATATTCGCAAACTCAAAGCTCTGTAAGGGAGATTCGCGGGCGGCGAGACCGATCATATCTATGTATACATACATACATACATACATACATACATACATACATACATACATGCATACAGGCATACATACCTACAGGCATACAGGCATACAGGCATACAGGCACACATACATACATACATACATACATACATACATACATACATACATACATGTATATAAATACATGTATACATACATACATACATACATACATACATACATACATACGTACATACATACATACAT